TAAATACGTTTTATATGGATTTAAAGGCTAGGTTTTAAAGACAGAGAAAGTAAAAATTAGTAAAATTGTGAGCATGGGCGAGTTTTTAAATTTCTGTACATTGGTTTCCTTACCTATAAATGGCAATAACACCCATCTCATGGGGGGTTTTTTTTTGAGAATTAAATAAACATATTTTAAAGTATTTAAAGAACTAGACAACTATTAGTTATCATCATTAGATATTCCAAAGGTGAATAAGCAAGTATAAATTATCAATATACACATGGAAAGAAACTATTTCTAAAACAGTTTTCCTTTTTTGTTTTCTGAATTTTAGGTAGACTATGCTAAGCCCTTACAGTATCTATTTTCACCGCATAAACAAGAATATAAAAGAACATTGGGTTCTACAATCTCTTCTCCTATGCCCAGCATTCAATCTAATGCTTACAAGAAGGAAAAAGTTGCTACTTTATTTAGAGGTATACACATTGTGTGTTTATGTTGAAATAACTGAAAATTAACTGCACCTAACTTTTAGGCATAAGCGTTAAGAAAATCTTTAACCACCCTTGTCAGTGTGGCTCAGTTGGTCTCACTATCTCCCTTCCCCTTTCTATAAAATAATCAATGACTATGTCCTTGGGTGAGGATTTTCTTTTTAATTTAAAAAATTAAGAAAATCTGCCCAACCAATGTGGCTTAGTGGTTGAGCATTGACCTATGAACCAGGAGGTGATGATTGATTCCTGGTCAGGGTTGTAAACTCAATTCCCAGTGGGGGGCATGCAGGAGGCAACCAATAAATGATTCTCTCCCATCATTGATGTCTCTATCCCTCTCCCCCTTTCCCGTCCTCTCTCTGAAATAAATTATTTTGTATATATTAGAGGCCTGGTGCATGAAATTCATGCACTTGGGGGTGGAGGTTGTCCATCAGCCCGGCCTGCACCCTCTCACAGTCTGGGAGCTCCACGAATGATTGTCCCAAAGAGGTAGGCCCTGCTGCCAGCCGGGTAGCCTGGGCTTCCCTCTTTGTGGCAAGCGTGGAGCCACCCAATTGATGGACTGCCCCACTGGCCATGGTCTGGGCCTCCCTCTGCAGGGCAATCATGGAGCGATGGCCAGGTCCCTGATCAATCACATCGCACCTGCCTTGGCTGGCCTAGCACTAGTGAGTGTCAGAGCATGGTCATCTATGGTTGTTCAGCTATTTGACCATTTGGTCTGTTTGCATATTACCCTTTTATTATTATACACTAGAGGCCTGGTGCACAAAAATTGTGCCCTCAGGAGCTTCCCTCAGGCCGGCCTGTGCCCTCTCACAGTCTAGAACCCCTCAGGGGATGACCACCTGCTGGCTTAGGCCCGCTCCCAGGAGCATTGGGCCTAAGCTGGCAATCAGACATCCCTCTGGCAGCCTGGGAGCCCTCGGGGGATGTCCACTTGCCAGCGGGGAGCAGGCCTAAGCTGCAGTCACACATTCTTAGTGCTGCTGAGGAGGCGGGAGAGGCTCCCCCAGCACTGC